TGTTTTGTGGTGAGGACAGTTAAAATATGTTCGCAGCATTTTTAAAGTAGAGAATACATTGTTAACTATGCCTAGTCACTATGTACAATGTAAGTCACCATGTGCATGTATTAGTCACCATGTGAGAACTCATGTTGTACAACAGAGCTCTTATAAGTTCTGTTTTAAATTAATTTTTATCTAAATTAAGAAAATTCTTATTTTACATACCAATCCCAGTTCCCTCTCCTTCCTTCCCTCCCATTTCCCCAATCCACCAACCCCCTCTCCCACCACCCAATCATTCCTCAGGGAGAGTGAGACCTCTCATGGGGTATCATCAAAGTCTGTCATATCATTTGGGGCAGGACCTAGGCCCTCCCCCATGTATCTGTGCTGAGAGAGTATCCCTATACAGGGAATGAACTAACTCCCAAAGCTCAATGGTGCACTAAGGATAAATCCTGGTTCCACTGCTAGAGGCCCTATAGACTGCCCAGGCTTCCCAACAGACACCCACGTTCAGGGGGCCTGGTTTGGTCCTATTCTGGTTCCCCAGCTCTCAGACTGGGGTCCGCGAGCTCCCACTTGCTCAGGTCCTCTATTTCTGTGGGTTTTCCCAGATGGTTTTGACCCCTTTGCTTTTCACTCCTCCCTCTCTACAACTGAACTCCAGGAGTTTGGCTCAGTCCTTAGCTGTGAATCTCTGCTTCTGCTTCCATCAGCTACTGGATGAAGGCTCTATGATGGCATTCAAGGTAGTCATCAATCTCATTACAGGGGAGGGGCATTTTAGGTAGTGGAAAGGTGGTAGCCTTTCCACTATTGCTTAGATTCTTAGTTGGGGTCATCCTTGTGAATTCCTGGACATTTCTCTAGTGCCAGATTTCTCTTTAAACCCATAATGGTTCCCTCTATTAAGGTATCTCTTTCCTTGTTCTCCTTGTCTGTTCTTCCCCCAGATTGATCTTCCTGATTCCCCATGTTCTCCTCTCACCTTCCTTTCTACCTTCTTCTTTCTCCTACCTCCCTCTCCCTCCCCCCATGCTCCCAATTTGTCTCTTTCCCCTTCTCTGGTAGTCCATGTATGTCTCTCTTAGGATCCTCCTTGTTTCCTGGCTTCTCTGGGGTTGTGGATTGTAGACTGGTAATCCTTTGCTCTATGTCTAATATCCATATATGAGTGAGTACATACACTGTTTGTCTTTTTGTGACTGGGTTACCTCACTCAGGATGGTTTCTTCTAGTGCCATCCATTGGCCGGCAAATTTCAAGATTTCACTATTTTTTTTCCTCTGAGTAGTACTCCATTGTGTAAATGTAATACATTGTCTTTATCCATTCTTCAGTTGAGGGGCATCTAGGTTGCTTCCAGGTTCTGACTATTACAAATAATGCTGCTATGAACATAGTGGAACACATCCTTGTTATATAAATGTGCATCTTTTGTACAACCTAAGAGTGGAATTGCTAGATCTTGAGGTAGACTGATTTCCATTTTTCTGAGAAACCACCATACTGATTTCTAAAGTGGCTGTACAAGTTTGCATCCCTACCAGTAGTGGAGGAGTGTTTCTCTTTCTCCATATCCTCTCCATCATAAACTGTCATTGGTGTTTTTGGTTTAGTCATTCTGACAGGTATAAAATGATATCTCAGACTTGTTTTGATTTGCATTTCCCTGATCACTAAGGATGTTGAGCACTTTCTTAAGTGTCTTTCAGCCATTTGAGATTCCTCTAATGAAAATTCTCTATTTAGATCTGTACCTCACTTTTTAATTGGATTATTTGGTGTTTTGGTGACTAGCTTCTTGAGTTCTTTTTATATTTTGGAGATCTGCCCTCTGCCAGATGTGGGGTTGGTAAAGATCTTTTCCCATTCTGTGGTCTGCCTTTTTGTCTTGTTGACTGTATCCTTTGTTTTACAGAAGCTTCTGTAAGACAAAATAAACTCTATTTTCAAAAGTACGAGATAGGCAAGGGAGGTAGCTTATACTTGGAATCCATATACTCAGGAGTTGGTGCAAGTCCATTGCTGTGACTTCATGCTCAGCCTGGGCGGCATAATGATGCAGATCTCTGAGACTGATATGCCTCTCAGTCCAGACAGGCTTGACTCAGGGACTATGGGGTCAGACAGTCAACAGTGACCTGAATTTATCTGAGGGAGTCGCTCTCAAGTTGGTAGTCTTGTGTAAATGAAGGTGAAAATGAAGAGTTAAGACATGGACAGAGGAGTGAGCAACTTTGTTAAAGAAGAAGGAAAGATTAAATAAGACTCCTGTGGTTGGAGGAGTCCTTAGGCAGGCGTTTTTAAGATAGGATTAATGGCAGAAACGGCACAAAAATGAGATAATTTCTATAGAGTTTGATTAATTCTTTGGTCACATTATACGATGAGCAAACGGGTGGGGTGGATGGCTCATAAGCTCTGTGTCTATGCCCCTGGCCTACCTGGGGAGTTGTCACACACTGTTTGCCCCGTCAAGGGGAGTGTTCAGACATCGACATCACCCTTGCTCATTCTTTCTTTTTCACTCTGACATAGGCGTCAGTCACTGACCTTCTGCCAGCCATCAATTAGACCATGTACTAAATTATGTATTAACTTTTGTTGTCAGGTCATGTGACCAGCTTCTTGGTTGCCACAGACTTTACTGCCAATGGGAGAGAATGCTTACCAGCCACCAAGATGTGTCTGCAGCTTTCTTGGTTACCTAGTTAGCTCCTTGTCTATGAGCCATTCTGGAGTGGGCTCCTTCTTGGAATAGGTGAAAACTTTTTAGAAGTGCCCAGTGTATTACTGATATCAACAAGCCTATGTGAAAAGGTAGCTCTGCTTCGCCCATGTTCTTTGGATTGGGGCGTGGGTTGGCAGGGTGATTCTGGGGAGGCAGCTGACGCCTGCTGAGACTGGCTTTATTATTTTCTCAGACTTCTGTATTTTTCCTTATCAGTTAAGGTATATCAAGCTCAGCTACAATCCCTCGTAATTACCTTTCTAGGTATTCCTGACCTTGTTGTTTTAACTTTAAATTCTGGTCAACCATAAGACTGGTTAATACCATAATAATAGTGAGCTTCAGGGTAGCTTGGGATATAGAATGAGAATCTGTTTCAACTCCCCCATATCCCAAGATTGAAATTTTAATAAAAAGTAGTATATAGAGCAATAGTAATACTGGTGCAAACTCTAGACAGTCAGATTTGGTCATTTGGAAGAAGATGTGATCAGAAGGAATTTGGAGTTCAGCATGTTTGTAATTCTTCTGGAATGGTATTTCAGAACTCTTTTTTCTGGTGTAATCTCAACTTTTTGCATTTCAACATAGAAAATTTGCACATGGAAGTGGAATCAGGAACATTTCATTTGTCCTGACATATTGATAAGTTGTAGCTGTGCTTATCAACCAATATCTACTTCTGACATATCTTTCTTTGAGCTTCAGAAAGATACAGTGACTGTTTCAAAATAACTCAGGAAAAACCAAACCAAACCAAACTCTAACTGAATCAAAAATCTAGGTCTTTTCTTTTTTAAAAATAGCCTATGATACTATGTTACTAAAAGCTGGGCAGAGTACAATTTAAAAAAGGCTGTCCATGTATTTAAAAGGCAATTGCTGATTATGGAAGAGAGGGTACAATACTATATGAGCCAGAGGTCTGGAAGAACTGCTGGAAACAGTGCCTTTTGTATTCACTCAACAGGGCTGTTGTACTAATTACTTCACAGCAGCTGTAGTGGCCTGCACAAACTCTTTACCAGAAAAATAAAACAGTCAACAATCCAGCATGGATAGGGCGATGTAGGTGGACTTTTCTTTCCCATCTGTCAGTTCAGAAATAACCACAAAGAGGTTTAGTGTTAGTTATAAATGCTCAGCCTCATTACTAGCTAACTCTTACATTTAATTTAACCCATAATTCTTATCTACTTTCTATGCGGTGGTACCTTCTTTCAACATCTCTCTCAACTATGTAGAATCCACCCTTCGTCTTCCCAGTGTCCTTAGTTTGGTTTTCCCACATAACCTTACCCTATCCAGCTATTGGCCAGTCATCATTTTATTATCAAGGAGAGTAACATATTTCCATAATGTACAAAAGGATTATTCCATAGCAGGGAGGGACTTACAGGGTCTCACCCGTAGCTGAAGACCTTTGGCTGGGAAGATGGCTGGGAGAGGGAAGCCAGTTGTCTCCAGGGAAATGGCCCCTTGTAGGTTGCCCATGCTTCAGTAGATGGCTCAGCACATGTACATACACAGGCAGCACTGACTGGAATCATTGGCTTATGAAGAATGGACATGAAGTATGGAGCCCCCACTGCAATGGTGGGGTTCTAGGAAAGAGGAGGTGGAGAGAATCAAAATATATTATATGCATGTATGTAATCCTCCAAGAATAAATGTAAAAAAATGCTATACTGATTTCTTCCTTAGCTATTCCTGTATTTCTGGAACTAGCAATATTTCTTATCTTACCCATTGGTAAGTGCAGTCTAATTATATGTAACTTTTCACCTAAATGAAATACCAAAGGAATTTAATTAGTTGTGTATTCTGAATTAGTGGGTTGAATTCAGGAGTGGATGGCACCTTTCTGAAGACAACTTTCTTTTGAAAGTTGACAAATTCAGTCAATACAAGGCTAATTCCCTGATGAAATAGCTTGGATGAAAGTTAGTTCATAAGTATATTGAAATGCTGGCCTAGCACCACTAAGAGTGAATAGTATGAATTTAGGAAGTTGAAAGAACGTGCCTAACTTTTTAAAAAATCTTTTTGACAGTGATTGTCAACATCTTGCCAACTTAAACTGCATATTGAGCTGCCTTCCAGTGCTGTCAGCAGGACTGAGGTAGAGGAAACAATGCTTAATTAGATTGTAGCTGCAAGGCTCTTGCACTTTTCATTAAATTAGTGGAGAATCAGTCAGAGTAGTTTGGCATCTTGAATAACTATAAACTTCTCACTATTTACATTGGTGTTTTTCTTTTTCTTTTTGTTGTTGCAGGAATACAACATTAGCTCAATAATAGCAGCAATAACCACCCCCCAAAGAAGACCTTCAAAAGAACAAAAAACAAAACAACCAACTAGATTTTTCCTTCATACCATGGGGAGTGGATACCTGTTTCCTTTGAATTGAAACATTCCTTCTTGGAAGGAAAAGGAGACTTTGAGGACTCAGAGAGGTCATGAAATTTGGAAGACTCCTGAGGTACTCCCTAGGGTCATGTAGGCAGTGAACAATTGCTAAAGAGACCATTTTCTGATGGAGCCAGCAAGTTGTGCAGGGACTCCTGTGATGCAACTGTTGTTCTGTAATGGGTTTTGATGATGCAGCTGCCTTTCCAGCACATGCTTCTGCAGGAAACCCTAATTAAATTGGTTCACCAACCTAGATGTTGTGGAAGCATTTCTTTAGTCTGTTGTTGGTGCCCTGTATAGGATGAGTAGACATTTGTGTCGGTGTCCTATATAGGGTGAGTAGACATTTGTTCATGTCTCCCCAGGAAAACTCAAACAACGGGAGGCATTTATGACATCTGTCAAAACAGCTCTGCAGAGCCAAGTTGGGAGTGCCTGCACATTGCCACAAAGACAAAACTAGCATCAGATTTTCTAGACTCTTCTTAAAGTCCAAGTATCAAGTACTATATTTCTGAAGTGCTGCTTGTCCTGCACTCTTAGCTAATCATTAACTGCAGATTGAGTATACTCACCTCAAAAAAAATCTAAAACACAAAAATGTTCCAAGATCCAAGATCTTTTTAATGTGGTCATGATATCACGAGTTGAAAATTCCACATCTGATCACACATGACAATTATAGGAAAAACATGGGTTTCAGGAAACCAAAAATATTGATTAAATTATTTGTATCACATAAGTAACAGGAGGCATAAAAAGAAGATGTATTTCTGGTTTCAACTTAGACCCCCATCCCCAAATTCCAAACATTGCCCATCATGAGCACTTTATATTAGGGATGCTGTAGTCATCATGATGACCATAGGTTGTCAACTTCTACAGAGGTATTGAGTTTTCATGACAGAGTGGGAGGAACAGCCAACCTAATGATTATGTTTTAAGTTGGTGTGGCAAAATATTGAGGGTTGAGGAATTCTCAAATTTCATTCTATAGATAGATGCAGTTTACCTGTGCTATTATGGAGGATAGACTATGTAAAAGCTTCAAAATTTCAAGATCTGGCATTGGAGATTTTCACCAAGTCTTCATCTAAACTACTACTTTTAAAGAATTTCATTCATGAGTATTATGTCTCCTCCTGTAACTCCTCCTGTGTTCCTTCAACTCTTTCTCAATTTCATGACCTTCTTTAAATATTTATATGTGTGTGTGTAAACATAGTCTGCTGAATCCATTTAGCATTGTTTCATATATGTATATGAATTAGATAACCTCTCAGGAGGCTTATCTCCTAGCATCCCGTGGATCTTTATCTAGGAGTGGGACCTTGTGAGATTTCCACCATCCATTATATAGTGTTATTTGGTGTTGTCATTGTATTAGTGTTGTCTAGGCAACCAACTCAGGTGAAGAGTCTGTGATCACAACAGTGACCAGCACAACATGATATCCTCAAGGTTGCAATAGTGGCATTTATATTTGACTGGAGTTAAGGCCCACTCAATGGGAGAGAATTCATGGCTGGTACTACAAACTTATTCAACTGCTCATGACTGGTAGAGTCATAGACCCTGGAGAAGAACCTACTACTGTCACTTTCTTAAACCAGTTTAATTTCTAACTGCACTCTAAATACTTAACATTATACCCATAGAGAGGTGTAGCTTTCACCTCTCATCAAAAATGCTTCTCTGACACAGATAAACACCATTACATAAAACCACTACTTGTCAAAATGCAGAGGACTACTTATTGTAGGATGCCCAGGTACCACTGATAAATCCATAGCACAATCCCTACACCTAAGACATGGGAAACATTGTGGAACAGGGCTCAGGAAGGTTAGAGCAGGACATGTTATGAGCTAATGTTGATTTGTATGACAGGGAAGCAACATTAATGAAATCTCAGGTTCTTTCCTTTTTACAAAGGCAGTAAAGTTGAAGTTTATAAACTTATAACCTATTAATGAGGAGCTAGGGGAAGGAAGGAATGGGGACATTTAGCCATAAATACTTACTGAGTACCATTATTTGCCATTGCTCATCTAGGTATATAGGTGAGCCAAATAGACAGCATCCTTGTCTTCATGGCACTCAATAGGATAGTGGTGGGAGAGAGCAAGAAACCAAACTGATGCATATGTGTTTTATGTCTACACTGTTCACATGCACATGTGAATATCATGAAAGAAAGAAAAGGAAAGTGCTGAGCATGTCAGTGGAAGAAGAAGGCTTCTGATTTTGCCTCTTAGGGGCAGGTTAACTCACTGGTCAAGCTTATAGACTTTGGAACTTAGTGCTCGTGTTCAAGACCCAACAGTGCTACTGAGTAGATAGTATACTGTTGCACACATTATTATGATTTCTATACCTCTCATTCTTGTGTAAAATGTGAATACTAGATCCTGCTTTACAGTTTGGTAATTCCAAAGACAAACAAATTTAGGCTAGCAGAGTAAACTTATCAGTTCTCATTCAAACTGGTTTCTTGGTTTATCTGTCTCAAATTATCCTCCACTCAATCTCTGTATGTGCATCTCCCTCTGAGAATGTGTGCAGGGAAGTCCTTCCTGCTTTGGTGATGACTTAAGGGGGTCTTCTTTTTCTCATGTGTATGCATGTGGTGTGGTATGTGTGTATGTGTGTGTATGCAAGTTTGCATGTGTAAGCATGCATGGGCATGTGTGTGCATTGTCCAGATGCTCACACCTAACCCTTTCTTAGTCACACTCTACGTGGTATGGTCAGGCAGGCTCTTTCAGGTGAACCCAAAGCTCACCAATAGGCTAGTGTAGCTAGCTAGCTTGCAGTGGGGACCCATGTCTTTGTCTTCCAGGCATTGTTATAGGTGAGTTGCCATACCAAACCTACATTTGCACAGGTTCTCAGGATCTAAACCCTGCCCTCACACTTGCTGATAGCATACATTTGCTTTAAGCATTATACTCCCCAGTCCCAAGTGATGTTTTCTCTGTGACTACTGGAGAACTTGTGTGTTGATACACTTTAACCCATACAAAGAATCGCATCTTCTGAGAATATCCCAAATCTCTAATACTTAAAACTCCTTTGTCAAACCCAGCATTTAACAATATTTTCTCCAAGTTTTCAGGGTGATAAATTATAGCACCACGTCTTCAAGTTCCTTTTTGAATAGGAGACCCAGGCAATTAGAGAAAATTTATTGAAGCAGATTTTATACTTATTCTTGTAACAAAATTCCACCCAAGCTAAGAACAACCACTTAACCATATTGAAAAGCTAATTTAGTTTCAGCCCAGCGAGTTTTGAAATAAGTACTTGTATAATAAAATTTACATTATGATAGTTCTGTAGAAGTTACTGTGTATATATTTATAACTTTGTAATATATGCTATTATGGTTGATTTAATATTCTGTTTATTCCAACTCACATTAAACTCCTGTTTGTTTAATTTCTGGATTCCTGTCAGTGGTTCCAGGCCATATTTCATCGTTTTTAAGCCTTATATAGTGGGAGTAGAGGTTGGCTTTGGTTTAGATAATTTCTAGCTGTGGTAATGATGTATTTTTAACTGCTCATAATTTAGAAAAATGCATGTGTAAATTGTGTCTAAGAAATGAAATAATGAAAACAAAGCAGCTGCTGCTTAAATCACAAAAGCAAATGAACCCTTGCTGCTATCACACCCCCCAGAAGCTGCTGGAGGTTCTGGGGGGATATGCTGAAAACCCACAGAGTGTCCATGGAGATGAAGAAAGAGCTAGGAAGTTTTAACTACTATTTACTCTAGTTGGGTCTGGGATGTCCCCAAAGGCAAAAGTAATGTAGCTATATTTAGTTTGAAAAATTATTCATTTCATATGAAACAAATGAAAATGAAAGTGTGTATATATAAATGAAACAAATGAAAATTGTATCTATCTGTCTATCTATCCTCTCTCTTAGAAAGTTTAAGAAAGAGAATTATGCTAAGTTCCTAATCAGGTAAGAACCATTCAATCTGAAATGAATTTGAATAGGAATGTCTGTTTGGGGGTTTTAAACTCTATAAGACAACATTTTAGAATTAAAACTATTTCCTGATTTCCCTTTTAAAGGCGAGAATTCCCTTCCCATGGACTCTTAAGGGGTCTTAGGTCTTGGTGAAACATACTTTGCCTCTGGATGGTTATTTGGTACCCCCACCTCTGTAGGGTTGGTAGTGTTCCCTATGATGACTTTAGCAGGCATCACCCCAGGAGATCAGGGTGCCACTTTTTCTTTTCTCCCAGTCAGGGCATCAGCTCTGGGATTTCCCTGTGCTGGTTTCCTCTCTTTCTAAAGCACTGCATTTTACATAAGGACAGTTTGGTGAATCAACATGGTGTCACCTTAACCTTTCCCTAGCCTTTGTTATAAAAGGAGATGTCAAAAATTGCCATAGCAACAGAACCTTTCTTATTCATGGGATCTACCACTCTTGGACATTATCTAGTGGACACGTGATGCAGCCTATTATTTCCCCCCTTCCCAGTAATCTTTTTCCTCTTGTCTTAAAGTCCCTAATACTTATAGGTGAGGTGATGCTTATGCTTTTTATAATCTAGCTGGCATTCATTGTGGATCACAACAACAGCGCTTTCTCTGTCATCATTTTACTGAAAACACACTGTCAACTCTATCATTAGCTTCATTTTGTAAATCGATTCTCTTTATTGTTATTCATGTTGGATGACAGAAGAAAGGAAGGAGGATTCCTACTGAGATAATTGCACTGTTCCCTCTCTGCAGGAAATACAAAATCTCCTTTATACTTTCATGCCTACAAGCATGCTACTTCAAAGGGCAGTTCAGCAAAGACTCTAATGTTCAAAAAGCCCAGTGGCATTTTCTGAGCAACACATGACACAGTTTTTGAAGAGACAAGGTGACTAATGGCTAGTGTGTTGGCCAGATAGCTCCCGAACTGATGGGAGTCAAGGTTTAAAGTAGATGCTCTTCAGTGGTCAGCACTGGGACTTAGGGGTCCACAGGTAACAAGCCAGAGATGGTGCCAGCATAAGATGTCTGCATTTAGATGGGAGGAGGAGGGTATGGGGAGAGTGGGAAGGGAGGAGGGAGGGGGAGTTGGGATTGGAATGTAAAAAAATTAATCAATTAAAAAAACAGGAAAAAAGACTTATAAATATAATGTATTCTTTTAACAAAGAAAAACAAACACAAAAGGATGTCTGTGTTTTGTGCAGCTCAAGATGAACAAGGGTACATTTAATTCTTTCCACCC